AGGCTACCAGAAGACAAGAGGACCTTCCAAAGCTTTACGTAAAAACCAAAATTGACAAATTCCAGCTAGAGAAATGTCAAAGTTGTTGAAAGCTTTTGCCAAGAAGACTAATTAGAATCTAGAAAGCAGCAAATAGCTTCATAAAGGAGAAAAACTATATGCCTTCTCTTGTCAAACCTAAAAACAGCAATCAAGAAAATCAAAATTTAATATAACGAGTAAACTTTTAATTTATAAAATGATTCTAAGATCAATCGTTAGCTGTGGGTACCCAAGTTACGATGGACTGTCCAAAAGCATTCTTAGAAGAATACAAACCCTGCAAAGAACCATCGTCAGCTTGATAGCCACTGCCCATTTATATTATAGAAATTAAGATGGCTAAAGATCTTAAAGTCGGCAGTATCGGCTCATTCTTCTCAAAACTCGCTATAAGACTTTATAATAATCTAATCCATATAAATAATGTTGAAATTCAAATTGTACTTATGTATGACTAGTACACCAACAGTAAAAAGCATTTGTCTTTTCTTCTGAAAAATAATTGCATACAAAAATATATATCAAATAATAAACATGCCTTGTATTCACTATCTAATCTTCTTGTTATCTACTACAGAACGAACAACTTAAAAATTTCTAGAATTCTCTTGTGTATCAGAATTTCCTTGTAATACATAATTATACTTGTTTACTAGTTTAAGGTGCTGCTATGAAAGAAGAAGTTGAGATGAAAGTCAAATAAAGTGTTTTAACTAAAAAAAGCATCATTCTTTCTAAATTAGATTTGTAAGCATACACCCGTTTAAAAAATAATCGAGAATTTTGCAGTAAACAAAGACGCTTTCTACGATAATGCACTCATCTTGCTGGGGTAGTCTTCCAACTATAAACAACTTTACTTTGTCCATAGACGACATATTGTTAAATGTTGCGCTCTTCAACTCAACATTAATTTAATTAAGGCAAACCATGTTCATTAAAATTAAATTGCAAACATTAATGAAGATTAGCTTTTGAATTATACAAAACTTGAAAGTTAATGTTGTTGAATAATTTAATTACCAAGTAATTTTCATGGTAGGTTTTGTTTAATTACTCAAGAAAAATGTAAATGTCGTAAAGAATGCGAGAAGTTTACTCTAAAATAGTGTTTCTTTTTCTATATTTTAAAGTATCTCACTAATAAGGAATATCAAAGTACTTTAGTTTATAAATATTTAATACTCTTACTTTATGAGTTGTCATTTAAATATATCTAGTTTACACATAAAGTAAAATTCAAGCACCTACTGAAAATTTTAATAAATAAGTAAACAAATAATAATCTTTGTTGCATAAACACACACACCAACATTTAACCCCACGCCCCTGCCCCTAAAGGGGCATTTATCGGTTAATGGTTAAGGTTAGAAGACAAGACAGATAAAAAAAAGAGAAAAAGTAGCAAATAGAAACAAAAAAGAGACGAAAATAAATAAAAATATAAAATTTCAAAAAAATATAAAAATTGAAAAAAAAAAGAAAAAAGAATCGATTTTTCTATTAGTTAGGGCATTTGATTAAAAAGTATACAGAGCTAATTGGTCAAGTTTAATAGTGGTTGGTGCTCAACATAGCATATATTTGTCATTTTTTCATGAAAATTTAATTTTATATAAACATTAAAAGTAACTAATAAACAGAAAAATATTCTTAATCATCATAATACAATGTGCAAACTGTTCTTGACTACTTCAATTTGACAATTTGAATATTTTTATTTTAAAAACAAAAATAATTATTTTATGTTCATAACATGCCATCGCTTAATCCAGAGTTTCTCCACCCGGTTTTCTCGAAGAATTGGTAAAATATTTCAAATTTTTAACCATGGGCGGGCAAGATTATTCATCTGAACTGTTAGTGTAATTTTTGCAAATTCAAAATTGCGGCAATCACTACTTTTTCGGTTGGGGTACAATGGTTTAACCAATTGATACTACGTTTATTCTCTTGACAAGCATCGATTGCACAAACTATTTCAAGTATAAATTCAAATAAATTGCATCACAAACAACAAGCATCGTTTCACTGATGAGTAGCCCTTTAGATTTAAATATCTCGTCTCTAAATTGAAGAGGATTAAATTCTATGCCGAAAATTATATTCAATTTGCAATTTAAGAGCCTCCTCATTCAAACCAATGTCGTCTCCCCCAACTTAATTGAACGGAATACATTATGTGATGAGTGTTGGATTTTAATTTCCGCCCTCTCGGATCGAACTGTGTGTCCCTATTTTAGAATTGGTTCCATGAGTCAACGAGCTTCACTAATTTTTGGAGAGCATGTAAGATTTGCAATCCTAATTAAAGGACCAAAGTAATACTTAGAAATTACTTACCAGACAAATTTTGAATTGGGATAAATTTTTCTTTCCATAATGATTAGTCGAAATCGATGGAATTAAAATATGCTGGAATAACTACATCATTAAAATTTTCGAAAGTTGATATAATGTATTAGCTAGCAATATTCAAATAACTCTATTCAAATTAGTTTACTAAGATTTTAAGCTTGTGGTTCTAAAAATTAATAATAATTAAAGCATATAAAGAATTCCGTACCAAAGAAAAGACAAATTAATATGTGCTAGACTAATTAATATATTCTTTAAATATGCTAGAATAACTACATCATTAAAGTTTTCGAAAGTTGATATAATGTATTAGCTAGCAATATTCAAATAACTCTATTCAAATTAGTTTACTAAAATTTTAAGCTTGCGCTTGTAAAAATGAATAATAAGTAATACATATAAAGGATTCCGTACCGAAGAAAGTACTAATTTTTTTTTCTGCAATAAAATATTTAAAAAACAGTTTTGTTTGAATGAAAATAGTAAAGTTTATTAAGAAAAAATGATATAATAAATAGTGAGTAATAGAGTTATAATGGTAATCAAATAGAATCATCGCTAATGTCACTGAAAACCTGCTATCGTTGAGAAATCTTCAACGTAATTAGCAATTTCGTTTAAAGTAATTATTGCCACCACCCTCAAGTGCCATGATCAGTTCAAAAGAGCTTTTATCATTTCCTATGACAATAAAAATAAATATAGCTTGGTTTTTGTTTTTATTGCTCTCATTCTAAGAAACATGAAAGAACTTACAATTACACCATCTATCAATAAGTTCTGACTAAAGGCTTGGTTTCTTAGGACAGGACGCCGTCAGCTGGAAATCAGCGCTAACCTTTGATTGGTCCATTTGTGAGTTTGATAGTATACGTCATCGAACGCTCATCTTGAACTACAATTGCCGTCCAACTCAACTGCAGTTGGATTACAACGTGACGTTAACCACAGAAGCAATGGCGGACAACATCCAACAGCACATTGAAATCAGCCAAGATTTTGATTTTGACATTAAACATAGCTTCTTCATTAAACATAGCACTCTTCATTTAGCTCAGCTATAATGTGTTTTTTCTTGGACAAAGTCATTATTTGCTCTCTAAAACACTGGTCGACAATAACAAAATCAATATAAATTCAAAATAAATATTTGTTTACGTTATTAACGCATGCGCAATGAGAGATAATGTCTGCGTTGGACCAACTGCTCACGCTGAGCTAACAAAAAAGTATTTTTTTGGCGTCAGCTCTACGTCAACTTTCCGCTGCCGCCCAGATAAGGCACTAGTTCTAAGAAACCAGGCCTTGAGCTAACAAACCAGTATTTTGTTGGCGTCAGCGGGACGTTGACGTCACGCTGACACCCAGATAAGGCGCTTGTCCTAAGAAACCAGACCTTAACATGTATATTGCCGGAGAAAGAATTGGAGGTGTTTCCCCGGATATGGACTCAGCTGAAATTTATGACCAGGTCAACATCTACGACAGCGAACTTCTGGTGGTCGTTTTACACATATTGTTACTTCCACTGACAAGGACGTTAACTGCGCCTAACTACATACTCTTGCATAGTGTATGTGTAGGAAAAGAAATATATGTGTTTGCCTTAATATAATTTTTTTGAATTAATTGTTACTGTGGAGAATTTTTTTTATTTTTTGTTCTGTTCATTGTTTGGGATTTGGAAATTTATATGACATATTTAAATTATATAATTTATTTATATTATTTTATTATGATTTAAATTATTATAAATTCGCATCATGTTTAATAGATAGATTATATTCCATTCATAGTTTGGTTTATTATACGAATTGGCTTAAGATGTAATGAAATCAAAACAAGCTAAAATAAAATTCATAAAAAATTTAAATTTTAGCTAGAAAATGCATGTTTTTACTTAATTATTGATTATTTGTGCAAAAACAAATGCTCTTTTTTTACCAATTACTCATTTTAAATATAAGTTAGCCTATGAGTCATGAAGGTGGTCCCTTTATACAAGAATATGGTCACGCATCAAAATTGAAATTGAAAATTGAATTTTGAAAAACTTTAAAATTTATAAAAAAAAATAATTACATTTCTTATTTTAAAGATTGCCTCGTGTACAAACTATTCCCTTCAAATTAATTTCACTTTAATTTACTTACTTTCTATTTTAATATTAATCTTACAAGTCTTTTGTATGTTATGCTTATTTTCATCGGTATATGGTGCAGTATTTTAATTTGTATTAAGTAAAAATTTATTTTTAAATGATCTGTCTTTTTCTGAAAAACAAATTTTTATCAACTCATGGTTCTACGTAAAATACTCATTTATGTATAATGTTGTTAAATTATATGTTCATGTACAATGCTGATAAATTTTGTAATATTATTGTCATAAAAACGCTATATATTTTAACGTTATTTTAATTTATATAAAATATTCACAATACACTTGTCAAATTTGGTTGAAAAATATTCTTTTAAATCTGCGCACTACGCAAAAAAAAAGAAATTGATCTTATATCAAATAATATAACGTAACACAATAATATTGAGAAAAAAAATAAGAAAATCGTAATAATTCAGCTGCAAGCATATATAATTTACCTTCATCCGTATCCGTGAAACCACCAAAATAATCTCTTTCGTAATCAGAGCTGGATTCTGTGCTTGAACCAGGATCACTACATTCGGATACTTCTGGCTGGACAACGGTCATTTTACCGTAAGTTAATGTATCGTGGACAGGACTGGGCGGTTCTATAACAGTGATATCATCAGCTCCGGATCCATCTGCTTGAAGCCTGTGATATCCCTTGCGATCATATCTTGATTCATTTGTTGTACCGAGGCGGGATGATATACTTCCTTCTAAAATACTACGTGTTCCAAAGTCTTGCAAAGTGAGAGCATCAGGCAAATGATCACCTACATCCGAAAAAGAAAAAGAAAACTGATTAAGATATAGGACATTGAAAAAATGTTAAACTATATCTTTAACTTATATATTTTACCAAGCACTCCGGACTAGGTAAAAAGGAGGCCGTTATTTTTACATATCATTGGGAATCGTTTATAATAAGATCAAAGAAGGTTCTTTGCCACCAGAGTCATTCAGGGTTAAAGCTGATAATAAATTATAGTTTTGACAGAATCTGGCTTAAAGTTTTATTAATACTAATTGATGTAAAACAATTGGGTTTGCTTTATTTCAGGGATTTAGTTCGTAGGACTATGAAAATTTGCACCATGAACTAGCTGTAGTAGTTTTACATATTACTGGGAATCGTTTATAATCAGGTCAAAGAAGGTTCTTTGCCACAAGAGTCATTCAGGGTTAAATCTGATAATAACTTATAGTTTTGACGGAATCTGACTTAAAGTTTTATTAATACTAATTGATGTAAAACAGTTTGGTTTGCTTTATTTCAGGGATTTAGTTCGCTAGGACTATGAAAATTTACACCATGAACTAGCTGTAGTATAAACAAGTATTAATTTGAGGAAGAAAAAAAGATAAAAACGTTTTGGTTTCTTAGCTCTGTGTATTTTTATGCAAGTAGTTAAGGTATGGTGGATATTACCCTTTTGTTTGCTTTTATAAAAAAAATCTAACGAAATCATTATCGAGAGAGGACAAAAACTCACGATATGCAAATAAAGCTGTCAGTCATTTGAATAAAAGCTACATTAGCTGCAAAAATACACATAAATTGAAAATAATTGTTGACTTGTTTTAAGCACTCAAAGGCATTCCATTTTCAAGACTTGCCAGTCATGTATGAAAAGAAAGAAAAGCTATTGTAAGTATCAGGCGAAAAGTTGCCTACGAAAAATGGAAAAATAACGGTGAGAAACAAAACTAGAAAAGTAACAGTAGTCAAAAGAGAGAAAAGATGGAAAACAGAACAAAGAAAACTACAGTGGCCGGGTAAATCAGGGGAACATGCTATGGAGAGAAGGTGAAGAAATTTAAAATTGAATTCATGCCCAAAACTCCAACAATGAGAAAGGTAATGTCGCTGTTTCTATTTCAAATTTCTCAAAATGTGCTCGTTTCTAGGCCCTTCCTTAAGTTCACAAGCCTCTACTTGCATTTAGACTTATTGTCTCGAATATTTATACAGCATGCTATAAACTTGCTCGTTATTTAGCTCGAATCATCTCACTTCTAAGATGTAACAATGAAGGCAATGTTAAAAATTTGGATTTCGTTTCCCTTTCAACAAAACTGCGCTCTCACTTGATGTTGCTTCCCTTTGCACAAATGTCTTCCCTTTTAGTGCTATTAATTGTTTAAAACCACAACTGCAAGGATTTAACTAATCTTTTACTGAAATTGAAGATATTATCTCCCTTGTCAATTCCTGCATTCAGAAAACTGTTTTTCAACTCAATGTTAATTTCCTTAAACAAATTAAACGATTCGTAAAATCAACAATTTTATTTACTTATAAAAAAACTATTTTAATTATTTACATAAGAATAATTTGGATTGCGTTAAAGTTATTTAGCATCTACTATAATATTTCCAGAAAGTAATATTTCGTCAAGTTCTATTGAAAAGTGCTCTTGGAACAACGGTCATGCCATTTACTTTGAACTTTATTTTGTCAGGCTTCAACAGGTTCAGTGACCTTCATTTATATATGCAGAGCATCGAAATAAATCAAACATTGTCTTACAACTCTTTTCGACTTTCATCACTGAATTAAGCAATTTTATCTGTTATTTTAATTCACTTAAAAGAAGAAAATTTTATAATCTTGACAAACAAAGATGAACATAAAATCTAAAGCTTCCTTCGGAATGTAACTTGTGACAAAATTTGTTAGAGTAATAAAAATAACAAAGTTAAATGCATATAAAGCGGGTATTTCAGTCAGTCAGAAAATGGTTCTAATTCACAATGCGTAGATTTCGCAGCAAACACGACTCAGAATAAAGTTTCCTAGACATACTTAAGAAAACTTAATTTGCTTGACGAAACATAATACAAAAGTTTGCGAATGTGTGGCAACTGAAAAGTGCGGCAACTGTCCTGATGTGCAAATTGCTCACCCATACTCTACAATGCAGCGTAAATTAAACAATTGTTGAGTAAACTCAAACAATATGTTGAGCAATTTAAATATAATGAAGACAAGACGTTTCAGGGTTCTTATCTGGGAGCAATAAGCGGCTTCTTTATATGCAGAGTATTTGTTATTGTCTGTGAAAACTGTTGAATAACTATTGAATAGTTGTATGATATAAATAGCTTACATACCTATATTTTCAATACTAGCATTATCATGGATATGATTGATTAATTTGAATAATGTTTAGGAGGAAATTATTGACGATTTTAATAAACGAATAGCAAAATGAAGTAAAAAGTGGTTTTGTGTTCAACCTCAATTATAAGTTGAGCTTCAATTTGTGTTTAAGAATTGTGGATAATAAAATTAAGGAGTTGGGAGTGAAGCTTTTTCATAGGTAAAGAGACAAAATCGAAAAACGTAGTCGTCTATTATTAGTTTTTTTTTTAAGTACGATATTTCGATGATTCACGGAAAAAAGTTGAATGTCGCAAATAAACAATAACAATCAGAAACGGCTATAAAACACAAATCTTTTAACATCATTACGTAATTCATGTCAGCTCATCATTCGGTACTATGATCTAAGTCAGTGCTTCCCAAAGTGTGGTACGCGTACCCCCTGTGGTACGGGAGCAGTTTAGCGGGGGTACCCGTTATTATGCGAAATATCTAGCAACAAACGAACATTTCAAAATTTTTTATTTGAAAGCAAAGCTAGCCATGAAAATGTGCGATTACGTATTTTTCTATTGGCTATTTTTTGCAGAGTTAACAGTTAAAAATTAGTGGTGTCAGCAGTTGTGATTTTTAACTTGTGTGCAATTTTTTTTATAATAAAAAATAAATTCAGTTTTTTATAAATGGTACGCAGCGTTGCGAAATATTGAGCACGCAGCGTTGCAAAAGTCATGAGTTTGGGAAACACTGAACTAAGGTTAGCTAAAAAATGAATTAAAAGGAAGGGATTAAAAAAGAGAAAAAAGGTCAAACAGTTAAATTAATAAGTTTGATAAAATTAGTTACCAAAATTTTTGACTAAGGAGACTTCAATGATGATCTTTTTTTGACAAAACTCCCACATTCATTAGCAGTACTGAACCTATCAGCTAAAACAGACAACTAATTATTTTGAAAAAATATGTTCTCTTGAAAAATACTTTCCAAGAACTTAAAAAAAATGGTCTAAAGATCTTATTCTTTATACTCCAAACATTAATAAGTGTTTCATTATTCAAACAGATGCCATCAACTTAGGTATGGGGGTTATTGTAACACAATATGATTAAACGAGAAAGGAATATATCCCATACTATATAAAATTATTCATATTCCCTTGAAATGTATGTTTTGAAAAAATATTTAAAGTTTTTTCCTTGTTTTGTCAAATTAGGCTTCATGTCACTTGAATTTATATGTCTGGAACTGCGTTTAGTTTCGTTATGAATTTGTTTTTTGAGTACGCATTTTTTTTACATTTTGCTATGAAAAAAACTGGTATTTTATATTCATTTCATTAAATATTTATTTAGAATTCTGTATAATTTACGTTTATTAAATATTTATTAGCATTTTTCTTGTATTTCATGTGTATTTTTATTAAAATAAATTAAACATTAAATGAATAATGGATATTTGAATGAATAAAAATTTAAATACGTGTTTCAAAAATCATTACTGGTTAAAAATGGATGAACTCTAGGTTTCCGCGGAACAATTTTTTGAAACCGCTGCTTTAGATAAATATAAACCATTTATTTATTTATTTTATTGTAAGGATGATTTCCCGTTTATTTCTGTTATTACCAGAACTTGCCAACAAATATCCATTTTGTCGTATATTTTTTTTGTAGTTTAAAATCAGTCGAATGCTGGAATTAAATTGAAAATTTCAAAACAAATTAAACATAGCGTAAAAGAGATAAATAAATTAAACTTACTCCGAAAGAAGAAAAAAACTTCCAGCTTAAAGAAATAATTAAATATCAAATCATGCATACGCCCTCTCAAAAATATTCTCTACTATTCGTAAACATTTTGCAAGAAAATAGATTATCAGTGCTAAAGCGTATTTTCTATATTTTTATCCTTAAACGAAAATATAAATATTGGGTATTTTGCATGAAGGAAAAACAAAAATTTCAATGTCCTCATTTGAAGAAAAATGGAATTTACATCGGAAAGGAGTCGTGATAAATGGAGAATAAATCGAATAAAAATTCAATTTGAGAAACTCTAGGAATTCAGAGAAATGGTGTAAAAATTTCAATAAGGTCTAGATTAATATGCATGCAGCTGTAAGCAGATAGATTATTCAATGGAGCGATCAAAATTATTAAAATATCTGAGTTTGTTCTATGTTTTTCGGCATTTTTAGAAGAATACATATTTGTCAATGAAACAGTTGCAATGTCATAGAATGTAATTTTAAAATATTTGTGTTTTATTACCCACACGGCATTTTTTCAGATTACTTTCTGAAAGATTTCAAATAGGTTGCGAAGTAAATTTTTTGGCAAAAAAAATCAATAATGAGCATGTAAGAGAGTAGTTTATTTAATTTTTATTATTTTTAATAGCAGTAAAATCGAAATAACTATTAACATTTCATAATTGTAATATTTAAATACTAAAACATCCAACTATTTATGTTTATTATTCGTATTTTTACATTGGAATAAAATTTCCAATGCATAAAACTGTAGTACTATTAAAAATATAACAAATATAAATGGTCTTTATTTTCACCCCTTCAAGTGAAAGTTTTCCATTTCCGACAAAATGCACAAGATATTTTAATTTACTTTGAGCAAACTAAAATTTAAGCGATTTGATGGTTAAATTGGC